AGAGTTCTTGATAGGCACAAAATTGGGAATTGTCGCCTTCCGCACCACACCCAATTTCATGTACTTGTTGCTAAGATGGACCTCAATGTTAGGTGCCATGGAGCACATCTACAATGGTACTAGGAAAACCGCCCAAATGAAAATAGCTGAGCTATAATAATGGGCTGGCTTTCAAGCAGGAATGAGAAAAATCACCACGAAGTTACCCCCTGGCGGTTTAGGCTTTACGCAAAGTACCAAGAGTAGGCCCAAAATAAGGTAGATTATAATCAAACTCGACCTGCGAGAATGTAAAATAGTTGGAGATCTTACCCCAGATTAGAAAACATGGACACACATGGCAAGAAAAGCAAGTCCTACATAAGCGGACCCATGTGAAGGAGAGAAACTCTAATTTTTGCATCGTTTACTTAAAAACTAATCCATTTTTGGAGCTTTTCAGCATAATGTGTCGGTGTAATAGTGGTGTTGGGTGCAATTTGAGTTCATCGCCCGTAGTGACATCGGTATCGTAGTTTTACAGGAGGAATTTGCCTTCTCCCCTTCATCTTTCTGAGTGACTGTTGCTGAAAGCACAATCACGCAATGTGAAAAACGCGACAGACTCAGACAACTGACGAGATACTTCCCGTGGACAATCGGTACCGGCCAGGCTCTCGTCAGCGGCGAGTACCGCACTCGTGTGCCGCATCCTACCGATCTTTGTGCTGAAGGTCTTTGTCTCGGCTTCTTGTGACGTCATCGCGAGCGGATCGCCCCTCGTCCCGCCCCGCATCAGTGTTCCAATGGTTAAGAGCGCGCTCCGGAAGTGGCAGAGATTTCCACCGCCCACCGGAAGTCTTTTATCGTCTGAGAACAAGTTTTGGATGGGCCCCAATCTGCAAAGGAGATAGATATTTCATTTCCGAAACAAGATAAACCGCATTCGAAAATGATTAGTTCACATACTCAAACAAATCACCGGAACTTCTATAGGACAAGCCAAATTCGCAGAAGTTCCGCAGAACTTTGTTCACTATTGCAAAAATGAAAACGTTGAATATCGGAACTTCCGCGGAGTTTTCATGCCAAACTGGTTAAAAACCGGAACTTCCGCAGCATCTTCTTCAAAATCCTGCGAAATTCGAAAAATGTCAGAGGTTCCGCGGCACTTTGGCCTGCCAGAACTTCCGCAGGGTTTTGAATGTGCTGTCTCGTATGATGTTTCTCGCCAACAATTAGATTGCATTATCGAACATGTCAGCTGCAATGGAGAGGATAGTGGGTGAGACACAGTCAATAAAGCAAGGTCCAAATCTCGCCTAGGTGTTCTCTTTTGCTGTTGTTGTTCGCATTATTCAGAACTTCCGCAGTGCCTCATTTTTGAACTTCTGCAACACGTTTACGGAACCTCCGCAGGTGACCCGACGGAACTTCCGCAAGCACTCTGCAGAAGTGCCGGTCATTTGTCTAAGTAGGTCCCCAATATCCGGATACATGGTCCGCATGGTTTGTCCGCATGGTCATACGTGTATGCCCTTCTGAACCACTTCGTCCTAGCGATAATTACTCTGCCCGGGCGGCGCTAACCCTAGATGGCTAACCCGGCTCCGCCCGGCCCTGTCATTATTTTATTCGTAATCAGCATGCTCGATTACCCCCCCCCCCCCCTGTACCAACTCCTAGCCCCGTAGCTCAAATTTTGCAAAAAATCGATAAAATCGGTATCGATCGATGACGAAAAGTAGCCTATGACACCCGCCGGGACCCGAAGTGTATGTGTGCCAAGTTTGGTTCGGATCGGTTCAGAAATGGAATTTTCTATTCGGAACATACGTACGCACACATATCGTTTATTCGTTGACCGTAACGACTGCTGACCGCGCGGCGACCGCTGCGCGTGCATGATGTTTTCGTAGAAAAGATGAATAGAAAGAAAACAGAGGACTCTTCTCATCTTTATAATGTAGAAAAGAAACGAAGAATTCTTCTCATCTTAAGCCACGGTCCAACTTGTCACTTCTTCGCAAGTCTAGAAGGCACGCGTCGCAGTCGCCACGCGGTCGGCAGTCCGTACGGTCAACGAATGAACGATACATACATACATACAGACAGACAGACAGACAAACAGACATTCAGCTTTATATATAAGAAGATAATAGTTTTCAAATTCCGAGCATTCCAAAGCAAGCGAGGCACACGTATAATGATAGTGACGATGTTTGAACTAAGAAGACAAAAAGTTGAAAAAGTTGCATGTTTTTTACTGGCCTTTCGTGATTTCTTCGCCCTTCCCACTTTTCAAAACACCATTAAGTCTGCACGTGTAAGCTGAAAAATTCACCTAAGCCGCCCACGTACAATACAACATTTTTGAGTTTTATGGGAAACTCGAAATCTTGTTTAATTCTTTTTATCATGAGAATGCCTTTGCAGTCCAATTCAGACGTCTCTAAAGACAGCACAGCTCTCGCCTACCCAAGCGCCGCAGCAGCGCCGACCAATCATAGGCGCGCAGTAATTAGGCTACTAATGCTAGCGGTTCAGAAGGGCCGTCTCTCGTCTTGGGTATTGAGCTGCACATCCTTGAAGGGGGGAGGGGGGCTAATCATATCTGGCGATCGAGTGTCCACACCTGTTGCTTGACCTTTGCGATAACTCTATCAACTCGGTACGCCAGAAGAATTTAAGCGGACTTTCCAGATTTCAGGCCCCAATTCTTGTCAAGCTCTGCTCTACGATGCTAGCTTTGTTTACAACTGATATAATCGGTTTATTACTTGCAATACCCTGAAGAAGTTCGTAATCCCTAAGAGAAAACAAAAGAATTGGCATGTTCAATCCACTTGAATTATTCTTACGTCGGTCTGCGAACTTCCAGCTCATTCCAGGTGAAAAATTAGAGTCACAAAATTATTGATAAGATTTATTACTCAGTGAAAACAAGATTCACCTTTTAATTCAACCGGCTTGGCGGCTAGAAGGTGGGCTTCGTGACTCAATTAAGGCTAGATAATGACCAGAGAGCACGAGAGAGACACAGAACACAGACTGCGTAACGGGCGCGAGCGGCCTTGATTAGGTCACAAAGCTTCCCAGCCGCCAAGCCAATTGAAACAAAGATCACTACAATCAACAACAACATCGGCAACAAGCTGCAAACATTGATAATTTTCAACAATTTCGCTAACTCAGAAAACACTTAACAGAAATTTCATAGATGAACAATTCAAGAATTAAAGGACGAACGGACCTGCGAGAATAGTTCAGAGCACGTAGCGTTGGTTACAGTAGCGAACAATTGGAGACAAAAGGGTACCAAAGCAGACAGTCTCTTTAATGTGACATGACATTTTTCGAGCGACCCGGTACGATTTGCAGAACGAACAGAGAATACAATAAAGCTAATGCTATTCAAAGATAACCTCAAGAAGCTACACCGGCTGCCGCGTACATCATAAAGTGAGGCGACATTGCTTTATATTTCAAAGAATGAAGGCTGTACTAGTTGATTTGCGGGGCAGAACACAATGCACTGGGCAGAGTTCACGAGATTTGTTCGTGGCACTTTAATCGCTACAAGACAAGTGTTACGAGTTCCTTGCATGCCGATCTTCTCGCATTTCGTTTGTGATAGTTCTCCAGCACGAGTAATCGTGACAAACTATCACAACCGAAATACAAGAAGATCGGCATGCAATGAGCTCGTAACACTTGTCTTGTAGAGATTGAATCGCGACGATCAAATCGCGTGTACCCTGTCCGAGGCAGAAATAAAAATGTCCTGAACTGAAGAGGTTGCACATTCAAGTCATTCCGCTATACTGGCGGCTCTCGAAAATACATCACCGCTCGTATTTGAAAAAGAAACGACGCGAAATTGAGCAACTCGTATGACATCACCGCAGCATGGCCATATCCCGCTTTAGAGTGGAGGACTTCTCACTCCAAGGGCATCATTCGACTCAGCTCGGTGTGGCGCATTTTCCAATGTATAGAAGAGCCCGTTTGGACACACTAGGAGGTCAGGTTCCACAACGGTTTTTGCTTATGGTATGTTGTCTAGTGAGTGCAATGAGCCCAGTGAGTAAGACCTTAAGCAGAAATCTGAAACCATTTGTGTAATCTGACTTCTAACTGTGTCCGAGCGGGCTCTTCTATATGTGAGAAGATGCGCCGCGCCAAGCTGTGTCAAATGCTCCCTTGGTTCAAGAGTTCGTCCATTCTGAAGCGAGATATAACCACGCTGCGGTCACGTCACATGGCAGGCGAATTCGCGACTCCTACGCCATAAAGTTGAGCCGCCCCGCTAAAAGGCCAGGTAGTTCAGTACCATACGACGAACGGTAAGGATCAATTTCTTGCCATTTCAACAAATAAAAAATTCAAAGTAATTTCAAGTCAACAACTACTAAATGGCACTAGATAGATTAGATACCAATAAAATACCACAAAATTATGCCAATTAGTATTGGCACACCCAGCACAATCACAGCGATTGGT